GCCGTCAGCTCTCCCGGAGAGCGCGACGAGCGGCCGCCCGCGTTTCGCATCCGCTGCCCTGCGCCCCGCGACCTGCCACTCGGCCGGGACAATGGCCAGGTACCCTCGGGGCGCGCGTGGGCGACGGAGGGGGCGGGGCCCTCGGGGTCGCCGGAGGGCAGTGCGGGGCCGGAGTGCCGGGGCTGATGCCGCCGGGCTTGGGAGAGCTACGGAAGGCCCCTCCCCCACCCCATCGTAAGGAGGTTAGGAGAGGTTGTGCGCCTTCGTCGGGACCGGCCAGCGTGCGCTGCGAGACTGCGGACGGCCCTTCGAGATCCAGTCCCCTTTTCCTCTTCTGCAGAAAGGGGGAGCGAGGGGGAAGTAAGTTGGCTAAGCCGCTACATGATCCTTAAAACGCGAAGGACCTCTGGGGTGAATTTCATCGAGGGATCTTCATTCTGAGCTTTATGAAAAGGGCAGCTCCGTTCCGCATTCGTCCATTCATTCATTCATTCATTCACTCACTCATTGGTAATTATAGAGCATCCACGATGTGCCCGGCGCTGGGCGGGTTCAGTGATATATGCCTGTGGTCACACAGCTTAAAGCCCGAGGAAACCTCCTGAGTGCTCCCCCCGTGCTTTCCGGGGGAAGGATTTGGTTAAAGATTTAGATCATGGGGCAGATAGAGCTGGAAACCGCTAACCCCAAGCGCCGGCATCTTCAGGGGCCGCTTCTGAGTCCCACAGCACAGCGCCAGTGTACTCACTTCACAGAGCAAGCTGGAGGCAGAGCAGAGATTTGAACCCAGGTCGCTAGCTTCCTAGAGTTGGAGCTCCCCCCGCCCCCAAGTGGGGAAGAATCAGGGAGACGAAACGCCAGGCCTTGGGCTCTATGGCTCTTCGTCGAGCTGGAGGTCGCGCAACGATGGTTGGATAGAGGGCACAGCTTTGGGATGCATGGTGAGGGTCAGGGTCAGGTGCCTGGAAAACGGAAGTTGGAGCACCCCAGGGCCTGCTTAGCCCAGGAGCAAATGTCTGAGCGCCGCTCATGTCCGAGACCCCTGGTAGGCGCTGAGATCCTGGCTCAGCACCCCCGCCCCACCCCAGGCCAAGTTCACTGTGAGAACTAAATCAGTTAATTCTGGTATGTAGTGAGCGTTCGATAAATGTTCGTTGTTGAGTTTTATTAAATTTTGTATTAACCCTTCTCCCCTTAAATGCTATGAGAGGCATAAGGACGCCAAAAAGCGCCAGAGCTTGATTCGGACAGAAATCTGGGAGGGCTTCCTGGATGGGGGGAGGTAGGCCGGCTTTTGGCGACCACAACGCAGTAAGTCTCCTGCCCCCAAGCCCTCGCAGGCGGCTTTGTGCCCCCATAACTCGGGAACTCTCCACGGTCCTGAACTGGGCGCCTCGTGAAGGGGTGTGGCGAGGTGGGGGCGAGAGAACGAGATATCGAGAGGGTCAGGTCTCCTGTTTTTTTTTTTTTTCCTAGCCTTCTTTCTCTTCTCCAGCCCACCTCACTTCTCTGGTGGCCGACCTCGCTTGGGATTCAGGCTTCCGAGCCCAAGAGGGAGGCCAGTACCACGGAACCCTGGTTTTCAGCTAAGGCACTTCACCCTCTTGAGCCTCAGCTTCTCCCTGTGTGACATGGGGGCGGCATTCTCCCGGCTCCCCGCTCAAGGCGTGGTGGAGTATCGGGAAGGCTAGGGAGCTTTGTGCAGGGCCTGGAGCTCTATGGAAGCGCGTCCCTGTAGGAGCTGCAGTCAGTGTTACAAAAGCTCTGCCCGGGCCGGCTCCGCAGCCTCTCCCATCCCTCCTTCCTCTCCCCGCTCTGGTCCCCTCTCCCTTTTCTCCACGGCTTCCCCGGGAGTGGACAAAAGGCGGCGCCTCGGGCGCGCAGAGGGCTCCGGAAGCACTCGAGGTTGAGGACTGTGGAGCCGAGGAGGTCCTTGGGGTTTCCGTTGGGGCGAGCGTTTTACTTTTTTGTAGACCGGGCGGCCACGGGGCTGGGGTTCCGGGGCGGGCCAAGTTGCTCCTGCGCTTTGCAGAGGGTGCCGGGGCCCTCCCCCCGCCCGTAAAGCTCTTTCCTGGGGAGAGAGGAGGGGTTTCTGCGGCGCAGGCGCAGCGTTTTCCAAGGCCGGCGGCCGAGCGACTGCGGGGCTTTGTAGCGGGGAAGTCTGCTTGGGAGCAGCGGTCTGTTTGGCCAATCGCGGACCGATGCCCCTCCCCCGATACACACGTGGTCTTGCCCCCGCAACCAACCCCCGCTCCTTCTCTCTACCTTGGAGCTTCCCTGCCCAGAGAGACCGTTGGGGGCGCCCTGGTGCGTGGCACCTAGGACTTAACAACGCTGAGGGAGGGAATGTAGGTGTCGGGGCAGGGAGAGTGTCCTAGCTCGCAATTTCCGATCACCAACAAGGATTTAGAACCCAGCTCAGAGCCGGGAATGAATGATGGAGTGTAGGGGAATGAATGAGCTATAGTCCAGGTGTGCGGGAACCTGGCCTCCGGATCCTGCTGTGCTGCAGTGAATATGCTTGGCACCTGCAGGCCTCAATTTCCCACCTGTAAAATGGGAAAATTATGGCCTAGTGTTCCTGGAATACTAAGCCGCTCCGCTTTTGTGAACCTACAACCCCACCTCCATTTTAAGGCCGAGGGGTCTGTGGCCTCCTGCCCTGGACTGGAGGACTGGCCTTCAGGTGCTGGTGGAGGTAAGGGCTTCAGGCCCCGACCTGCATGGTGAGGAGCTTCCCCACACCTAGCACGCCCTCCCTCTGGGTGGCAGCTTGAAAGTAAAGGAGATACGTCTTTATACAGTGCCTGCAGGCTTGGATTTTGCAGACAGAAAGTGGGCTGCAGAGGTTAGCACTGTATGGTGCCCAGAGATTTGGGTCACCTGTCCACTGCTGTGGGGGCTGGCTGACCTCTTTTCCCTCTCCCATCATTAAGTTTATCAGGCTATGCCTTGGCCTCCTGCCTGCCTTTCCTGGAGCCACATCTGGATCATGGGTTGCGGGGGCCCTGTCCGCTCCTCTGGGAGGCAGGATGTCCTCTTCCTCCTCCCGGCCTGTTCTGGGGATCGTGGGAACCTCAGTGCACACGGTCTGCCCCTCTAAGCAATCACTGTCTGGCGTGAAAGACTGTGGGGACGACCTGGTGGCCTCCGCGCCAGGCCACTGTGTGATGACACGCTGCCGCAGGGAGTAGAGCAGATTAGCCATTAATTAGGACCTTGTCTTCCGGTCGCTGCTGCACTCCCCGGCCTGGCCGGGACGCT